TCAGGCTATGGTTACAACTCCAGTTGCTACCCCACCTGCTCAGCCAGCTAGAGGTAGAGGTCGGGGAGTTAGAGGTCGCCCTAGAGGGGAAGGCCAGACCAGATATTATGCCCTTTCTGCCCGTACCGAGGCTGTCATCGCCAATTATGTCATCATAGGTATTGTCTTGGTTTGTCATAGAGATGCATCGATTTATTCAATCCAGGCTCCACTTATTCTTATTTTGCCTCGCATTTGGGTGTATCTCGAGATTCTTTGAGTTTCCCTGTTTATGTTTCGTTTATCGGTCGTGTATGGTTGCTCTTAGTGGTTTTGAGACCAGAGTCGATTTGTTATTGCTCAGCATGGTAGATTTTGATGTTATCTTAGGCATGGACTGATTGTCGCCCATTATGCTATTTTTGATTGTCACGGCAAAACTGTGACGCTGGCTATGCCAGGTGTATTGTGAGTAGAGTGGAGAGGTACCTTAGGTCATACTTCCAGTAGAGTTATTTCTTTCCTTAAAGCTCAACGTATGGTTGAGAAGGGGTGTAAAACGTATCTAGCTTTTGAGAGAGATGTCAGTATTGATACCCCTACAGTTGATTCAGTCCCAGTAGTACGAGATTTTTCTAATGTGTTTCTAGCTGATCTTCCGGGCATGCCGCCCGATAGAGATATCGATTTTGGCATTGATCTGTTGCCGGACACTTAGCCCATTTCTATTCTTCTGTATCATATGGCCCCTTCTAAGTTGAAGGAGTTGAAGGATCAGTTACAGGAATCGCTTGATAAGGGTTTTATTCGGCCCAGTGTATCACATTAGGGTGCTCCTACCATATTTGTGAAGAAAAAGGATGGTTCCATGCGTATGTGCATTGATTATTGCTAGTTGAACAAAGTTACAGTGAAGAACCGGTATCCTTTGCCTCGCATTGATGATTTGTTTGACCAGCTTCAGGGTGCACGAGTGTTTTCTAAGATTGACTTGCGTTCAGGTTACCATCAATTGAAGATTCGAGAGCCAAATATCCCGAAGATTTCCTTCAGGACTCGGTATGGTCATTACGAGTTCCTTGTTATGTTGTCATTTGGGCTGACCAATGCCCTAGAAACCTTCATGCATTTGATGCACAGTGTGTTCCTGCCGTATCTTGACTCGTTCATCATTGTCTTCATTGATGATATTCTGGTGTATCTCGGAATCGGGAAGATCATGAGCAACACCTGAGGATAGTGCTTCAGACTTTGAGGGGAAAGAAGTTATATGCAAAGTTCTCGAAATGTGAGTTTTGGCTAGATTCCGTGGCATTCTTAGGCCATGTGGTATCGAGTGAGGGTATTCAGGTGGATCTGAAGAAAGTGGAAGCAGTGCAGAGTTGGCCCAGACCATCTTCAACTATAGAGATCCACAGTTTTCTTGTCTTGGCGGGTTATTACCGTCGATTTGTTGAAGGGTGCTCTCTTCTAGTGGACAGAAGAGTGTGAAGCGAGCTTTTAGAAGCTCAAGACAGAGCCCCGGTCTTGATATTGCCTACAGGTTCGGGGTTTTATATTGTCTATTGTGATGTCTCGAGGATTGGCCTTGGAGCGGTATTGATGCTTGACATTAGGGAGATTGCCTACGCGTCTAGACAATTGAAGGTACATGAGAAGAATTATCCTATGCATGATCTCGAGTTAGCTACTATTGTTCACGCCTTGAAGATCTGGCGTCATTATTTGTACGATGTGCATTGTGAGATTTATACTAATCACCGGAGTTTGCAGCATCTGTTCAAGCAGAAGGATCTTAATTTGCGCCAGAGGAGGTGGTTAGAGCTGCTGAAAGAATATGATATCACTATCTTGTATCACCCGGGCAAGGCCAATGTGGTGGCTGATGCTTTGAGTCACTGGACAAAGTGTTTGGGGAGTTTGGCTTATTTACCAGTCGCAGAGAGGCCCATGGCGATGTATGTTCAGGCCTTAGCCAGTCAGTTTGTGAGATTGGATCTTTCGGAGGCTAGTCGGATCCTTACTTGTGTGGTTTCTCAGTCTTCCTTGTTTGATCGTATCCGGGAGCGTCAGTTTGATGACCCTCATTTACTTGTCCTCAAGGACAGGGTTCTGCACGGTGATGCCAGAGATGTGACTATTGATGATGATGGGGTATTGAGGATGCATGTTCGGATTTGTGTACCCAATGTTGATGGGCTTCAGGAGTTGATTCTAGAGGAGGCCAATAGTTCGCGGTATTCCATTCATCCGGGTGTCGCGAAGATGTTCCAGGATTTGAGGTAGCACTATTGGTGGAGGCGGATGAAAAAAGATATAGTTGAGTTTGTAGCTCGGTGCCTCAATTGTCAGCAAGTGAAGTATGAGCATCAGAGACAGGGTGGGTTGCTTCAGCAGATGGAGATTCCGAAGTAGAAGAGGGAGCGGATCACCATGAACTTTGTAGTTGTGCTCCCACAGACTTTGAGGAAGTTCGATGACATTTGGGTGATTGTGGATCGATCGACCAAGTCCACGCATTTCATTCCTGTGTGTACTACCTATTCTTCGGAGCGATTGACAGAGATTTATATCTTGGAGATTGTTCGTCTGCATGGTATTCTAGTTTCCATCATTTTAGATAGAGGTACTCAGTTCATATCACGGTTCTAAAGGGCCGTACAACATGAGTTGGTACTTGGGTGGAGTTGAGTACAATATTTCACCCTCATACGGATGGACAGTCCGAGCGCACTATTCAAATTCTTGAGGATATGCTCCGTGCGTGTGTGATTGAGTTTGGAGGGTCTTGGGATCAGTTCTTGCCATTGGCGGAATTTGCCTACAACAATAGCTATCAGTCCAGCATTCAGATGGAACTGTATGAGGCTTTATATGGTAGGTGGTGTAGATCCCCGGTGGGTTGGTTTGAACCGGGTGAGGCTAGATTATTGGGCACTGACTTGGTTCAGGATGCTTTGGAGAAGGTTAAGGTGACTTAGGATAGACTCCGTACAGCCTAGTCCGGACAGAAGAGTTACACGGACCAGAAGGTTCGTGATGTTTCCTATATGGTTAGAGAGCAGGTTCTGCTTCGGGTTTCGCCTATGAAGGGCGTTATGAGATTCGGGGAGAAGGGGAAGTTGAGTCCGAGGTTTATTGGCCCTTTTGAGATATTGCGGCGTGTTGGGGAGGTTGCTTAAGAGCTTGCCTTACCTCCCAGCTTGGCAAGAGTTCATCCGGTATTTCATGTTTCGATGCTCCGGAGGTATCACGGTGATTCGTCGCACGTATTGGATTTTAGTTCAGTTCAGTTGGACAAGGATCTATCTCATGTTGAGGAGCTAGTGGCAATATTGGAAAGGTAGGTTCGAAAGCTGAGGTCAAAGAACATTGCATCAGTAAAGGTTAAGTGGCGGGGTCAGCCGGTCGAGGAGGTGACCTAGGAGACCAAGCAGGATATGCGCAGCCGTTACCCTCATCTTTTCACTACTTCAGGTATGTCTCTATACTCGTTCGAGGACGAACGAATATTTAAGTGTAGGAGGATGTAACGACCTGGCCGGTCGTTTTAAGAATTAATGCCCCGATCCCCTATTAACTGCTTTCTCCCTGTTTGTTTCTACTATTTTGATTCGTCGGGATGTTTGGTTTTGAGTTTCGTAGTGTTTTGGGATACTTAGTCCCTAAATGAGAGCTTAAGCTTTAGAATTTGGATCGTAGTCGGAGCAGTGTGAAGACAGCCTCAGAATGGAATTCCGTTGGTTCTGTTAGATCCGTTGGGTGATTTCGGGCTTAGGGGCGTGTTCGAATTGTGTTTTGGAGGTCCTAAGCTTATTTAGGCTTGAAATGCTGAAAGTTGAATTTTTGAAGTTTCCGGGTCGATAGTGAGATTTTGATATCGGGGTCGGAATATAATTCCGGAAGTTGGAGTAGTTCCGTAGTGTTAAATGTGACGTGTGTACAAAATTTCAGGTCATTCGGACGAGGGTTGATAGCCTTTTTGATCGAAAGCATAAATTGAGAGTTTTTGGAGTTCTTAGGTTTGAATCCATGGTTAATTCGATGTTTCGATGACTTTTAGGTGTTTTAAGGATTGGTATATGTTTGGATAGTGGTATATGGCTTGTTCGTGCTTTTGGTTGAGGTCCCGGGGGCCTGGGGATGAATCCGGATGGTTGACGGGAAGTTGAGAGTTAGAGTGTGCAGCTGAAACTGCTGGATTGCTGTCATAACCGCACCTGCAGATTGGGGACCGCAAGTGCAGATCCCAGAACCTGCTGGGAGACCGCAGATGCGGCTAGATGAGGAAAAACTAGAAGCAGCAGGTACGGAAGTGTCCACGCACCTGCGTGACCGCAGATGCGGTGAAGAGGTCACATTTGCGGCAATGGGAATTTAATGAAATTCGTAGGTGCGACTTGGTCTTTGCAGAAATGTGACCATAGGTGCAGTCCAGGGCCACAGATGCGGTTTCACTGGTCAGAAAAGGGGCAGAAACGAGGTTTTAGTTTCCAAACTTGGAAAATTGATTTGGTAGCTCGGGATTGGTAATTTTGAGGGAGATTTTCACCTGGGTGTTTTGGGTAAGTAATTCTTACTTGGTTTTGATTAATTTCCACGAATCTATGCTTAAATTCATCCTTTAAATTCAAATTTGGGGTGGAAAAATTGGAGAAAAGTTGGAATAGTACCTAGACCTAACTTTTGAGTTTGGATCGTGATTTTAATGTCGGATTGGAGTAATTTCTATATATATGAACTCGTGAGAGTATGGGGTTTTCGAATTTGCAAATTTTACCTGATTCCGAGACGTGGGCTCGAGGGTCATTTTGGTCATTTTTCTTAATTTCGCGTATTAGCTTAGAATTAGTTATTGTAATTAGCTACTTGAAGTTATATTTACATTATGAAATTGAATTTAACAGATTTGGGCCATTTGGAGTCGAGTACTCGTGGCAAGAGCGTGGTTTCGAGTTGATTTTGAGCTGGTTCGAGGTAAGTGACTTACCTAACCTTGTGCGGGGGAAACTCCCTTTAGGATTTGGTATTGTTGACATTTGAAATACCTTGTACGTGAGGTGACGAGTGTGTACTTGTGCTAATTGTTGAAAATCCGTTTTTATTAAGTAACTATATCTGTGTTTCCTTTTCTGTTTATACTACTCGCAATTTAAGCCTACATTAGCTTAAGAAAGCATGTCTAATTGACTTAATTGTTTTACTTGCTCAAACTGCTTTATTCGAATTATGTGCAGCGTGCTAGGTTAGAAGTACTCATGTCCTTTCTGTGCATGTTTTTCATGTACAGATCCAGGTACTTCCACTTAGTCTTATCATCCTTGAGGCGAGACACTTTTATAGAGACTTCGAGGTATATCTGTCGCGTCCGCAGACCGAGGGGTCCCTTTCTATTTTCTATACTAGTATAGCCCTTCTGTATTTTTCCTTTTGATAGACATTCCTGGAGTTAGAGCTTTTTATGTATCTCTTAGCTTGTGATTCATGGGATTCCAGATTTTGGGAGTATTAGGTTGAGATTCTTTTACTGTTATATGCCAGACGACATCTTTAACACTGTTTCATTTTGTTATCTCGATTTTTAATTATTTTCTTTCCGCAATTGTTCTTTTTTTTCCCGCATTTGTTAGGCTTACCTAGTCGTAAAGACTAGGTGCCGTCACGATAGTTCACGGAGGGCAAACTGGGGTCGTGACACAACCAAGTCACCAGTTTTGGTCGAGTCATTTCGATTCATTGATTTCAGCCTGGCCAAATCGGTATTCCCCTCTCTTTTCTTTTGATTCTGTTGCTCTTTGTTTTTGTTGTTTTATTATTTATTACTTAGTTTTTATTTTTATTTTTTGTCACTGTTAATCCTGTTCCTCTTTTGTTTGAGATAATATCGAGTTGTTTAGGTTCATTGAGTTCAATTGATTAATGGCATAAGTTTAGGGTTATTTGTTTAAAAACCATTTAAGTCCGGATTACTTCTATTTTTGGGTGTTAATTACTGATTTATATTTGGTTGATGTCTTATGCTAGTTTTGGTCTAATCGGGATTCTGTGGTTATGGGCTAAGAAGCCCAAACCCAGGTTTTTTGTTATGAGGTTAAATTTGAGGATATGACTGGGCATTATAGGAATTGAACTTGAGGGAATATTATGTACAACTGATTAAGAATGTTCTAGAGATAGGATAAGGGTCTAAGATGCAAATAAACTGGAAATTAAGATAGATTTTGGGGTTGAAATTGATCAATTTAAGAAGTAAAAGGGGGCAAAAACATATACAAAATAGCTAGAATGGACAGCTGTCCATATTCAGTTATAGAAGATGTTTTTTATTTTTTGAATTAAAAAGGAGCACATGGCAGAGTTAGCACCTATATTTTCTGGACCCTTAGTCTTTTCTGAATTTTCTTCTCCTTTAAGTTTAAAGTTAGAAACAAAATCTGACTCTTTTCGGAAAAAAAAGAAAGAAGAATCATCTCTTCTATCTTCTACTTTTCACTCGAAGTTTGGGGCAGTTTTCTTTGGATTTTTGGGTTAAAGCTGAAGTTTATTCTGAATTACTCTTTCTGCTACTATTCTGTTTGGCTGTTACACCTTCTCAATTACAGAGCTTTATTTTTGGTTGATTTGCTGTAAACAGGTATGTGGCTGAACATCTACCTGGCCCATAGGTTATATACCTGAAGTTGTGAACTATCTGCTGCCTCACTTTCGAAGTTGTGTGATCATGAGTTTCAAATTTTGATTTTCTATCTCTGTTCTATTCTGTTATGTTGTCTTTAAGTAGGTTGAAGTTTGGTATTAAATGAATGTAATAAACACACCATGCATATATTGGAAAGTCTGTAATGATGTCGAGTGTTAGTTTGAATATGTGACTGTTAGTTAGAATTGCTTCATGATATATGTTTGAGTCGAATGTAACCCTGATATTTAGTTGTGATGCTCAAGTTGGAGTTGTTTAAAAGAGTTTTTAGGTGGAGTATTTGAAGAGCTTCTCAGATTTGAAGCTTTAAAAAATAATGATGCCCTTGCATAATATTTACTGTCAGATCTGAAGGCTGGTTGAAACTCATTTAATTTCATGTGGATATTTGTGTTAGAGGTAGTATCTCGCAGGTTTAGAACACTATTTGAGTCTCTTGAATTGTTCAGCTATCTTTTTGGGGTTATTATAGGGACTGCTAGATTCTGGGAGTCATCTTACAGTGATTTGATGGTTCATAACTAATTATTTGCAATGTTCATGGCCTGTAGTTCTAACTTTAGTTGCTATTGATCTCAAAGCTGAGATTGGTTGAAATTTTCCCCTAGGCGTAATATATCATGATTCGAGGATTGCATTGCTCAACTAATCTAGTTCAAGTTAACATCACTGTTTCTAATGGCATGTTAATGCAACAAATTAAGTCTATAATATAGTTATTCAGCATTTTGATCTGCAGAATTTAGTATAATATTTTGCTGTTTGTGTATTTGAAGAAATGTGAATGTCAGATAAGGTCTTAGTATATTAAGGGCCTTCATTTCAAAATAGTTGGGCCTGATATTTAGCCCAAATGAGACAGCATGATCAAAATCAGACCTGACGGGGTCTCTGGTTCCTTTTCCCACTTTTGGGCTCAATTTCGAGCCCAATCAAGCATTGGTAATACTATACTTAAAGTTTTAGTTCAATATAACGTATTGGGCTTGCTACTGGTCCATCTTTTCTTGATAGCTAAAATCATACATATTTTTTCCCAATGTTATATCCATAATTCGTGGCCTCGCAATAATCACAAATTAGTTTTAAGAAGAACCACAAACATTCGTAGTTTGCTTTAAGCGCGTTTATAATAAATCATCACAATTACGGATACGGTTCCCGTGACGTAGTTGTGATACGTAATTCTCAAAATCCGGGTGCACATTTCATGTGACTCGACTACAACTTCAATTCTTTAATAATAAAATAAAATATGTTGTAAACCGCAGGTGCATTTCATGTGACGCGATTCGCAATGTGTTCAAGAATGACAAGTGTACGACAATCGTGCCTTGTTCCAGAAAATAATTCCATAAATAATTAAAAGTGGTTAAAAGGTTAAAATACATAATAGGGTTTAAATATGTAATAAATCTGGTAATTAGGTGAATTATTGATAGTTGAGTGACCGTGCTAAAACCATGAAACCCGGAAATGCCTAACACCTACTCCTGGGTTAACATAATTCCTTACCCGAATTTCTGTGTTTCACGGACAGTAAAACAGAGTCAAACTTCCTCGATTCAGGATTTTAAACCGGTGACTTGGGACACCATAAATTATCCCAAGTGGCGACTCTGAATTTGAATATAAATATTCCCATTTCGATCAACGTCACTTAAATTGAAAAAACTCCCTATCCCTTGCGGGTAAAAGGAGGTGTGACAATAACAGAGATAATCCAACTCTCGGAATTACATTTCTACCCCGATAATATCAAGGTCAACTCTCGATCAAACCTCTCAACCTTCCAAAACTTCAACTTTCCAATTTTCGCCGAAATATTTTGAATCTACCATCTCTTTTCCACTCTGTAATTCTTTCCTTTCATTTCCACTCTCTTTTTCTCTTTTGTTTTTTCATTCTTGGTTTTTCTCTTGTTGTCGTCACTCCTGGTTCTTTTCTTTTATTTATTTTTTCTATCAATCTTTCTCTTTTTCTCTTCTCTTTTTATCGGTTTTCGCTCAAATTAAATATGACTTTGATCGCATCGGATGGGGATTGCCTACATATCTTGATGCCGCATGAATTAGACCATTACGTAGTTCAAGGAAATAAATGTAAAAATGAAAGCAAAGAAATTTTGGGGTTTTCAATATTTCATTAATAAAATCTTTTTGGGTTTTTCATTACAAAGACTCAAAGTCATTGATAACTGATTTTAAAAGAAAACATACAGACTCGAAGCAAAATAACAAACTTGAAAAGGACGAAGGAACAAACATACTCGATGCGAGAGAAAGTAAAATACAGACTTGATGACTAAAGAATTAAGAACACAGATGACTATCAAATGTTATTCTAGGGGCCTGGGTGAGTTTAGTTGGTCTCGACGCGAGTCTTCTTGTATGCTCTTCCTGAAGGAACTCTAGGTCGGCCATGACCCGGCGATCGAAAGACAACACAGAAGCAAAGAACATAATGTAAGCATGTAAAATTTATTGGATTCAAATCCAATAAATTATTTGGAGGGGCTATAAAAAACAAATATGAAGTCGCTTCCAAGTCCTCCTTTACATATGCAAAGTCATACACTTCAAGGATCGATATGTCGAAGATGCCTGCTGGCTATCAACCTCCAAAATTTCAACAAATTGATGGCAAAGGCAATCTAAAGCAATATGTGGTGCACTTCATTGAGACATGCAACAATGCTGGGACTTATGGAGATTACCTACTTAAGTAGTTTGTCCGCTCATTAAAAGGAAATGCTTTTGATTGGTCCACGTACCTCGAGGCTGGATCTATTAATAGCTGGGATCAACTAGAGCAAGAATTCCTCAATCACTTTTATAGCACGAGACATACTATGAGTATGATATAACTTACAAATACTCGTCAACGAAAGGGTGAACCGGTTATTGACTTTATCAATTGTTGGAGGAATGCAAGCCTCAACTGCAAAGATAGGCTTTGTGAAGTTTCGGGCATAGAGATGTGCATCTAAAACATGCATTGGGGACTATGCTACATCTTGCAAGGTATCAAGCCTAGTATATTTGAAGAACTTGCGACTCGTGCTCATGACATGGAGTTGACCATTGCCTCCGCTGGAAATGAAAGGTTACCTATCTATGAGCCTTACAAAGAGAACGACAAGTAAGAAGTCAGGAAATGGGGCAAGTTTGTACCCAATCTAAAAACAAAGAAGCTATGAATGTCAACACATCACCTGTGAAGTTGACAACGAAGGTGAGCAAGAAGCAGAGTATGAGATCCACTTCTTTTCAAGATAAGCCAAGTGGAAAGTTGATTCTAAAAGAAATGCAAGAGAAGGAGTACCCATTTCTGGATTCTCATGTGCTAGCTATTTTTGAAGAATTCCTTAAGTTAAATCTCATTGAGATTCCGGAGGTAAAGCGACCAAATGAAGCTAAGAAAATAAATGACCCAAATTAATGCAAATACCATCAACTTGTAGGCCACCAGAAGTGCTTTGTCTCCAAGGACAAAGTTATGGACTTGGCTCGCAAAAAGAAGATCGTGTTAGAAGATGAGAAAGCAAGCGCAAACCAAGTCTCTATCACCTTTGGTTCATTCAGTCCGGATGAATTATGTTGTTTTAAAGAAAGTAAAGATGAAGAATTACTGGAGAACAACAAAGTTGAAGTCAATCAACCTAATGATGATGAAGGTTGGACATTGGTGACTCATCGTAGGCACCACAGAAGGAGCCCACAAAAAGAATCAATAGAACAACCAACAAGGAAAATGATGGTAAAAGACCAAGGAGATAGAATCCAGTTAAGCACTTAAAGAGAGCAAAAGTGAAGGTGCAACACTCTCAAAAGCATGAAATCTAGTGACCTTGAAAGAGTTTTTACTAAGTTGGTTCCGCACGAAGATTTCCCATAAGGATATCGATGCCTCTTGTTGCCATGCTGACAAAGGGGAAGAAAAGAGTGATGACCTACCGTTGGCACCATTTTCGGAAAAGTTCATCGAGTCCACTCCTCAAGAAATTAATGCTTGTGAGGAAAAAGTCACGTTCTCAAATGACGATCTTCTACTATGTGACACTCTTCATAACCGCCCATTGTACTTGGTTGGCTATATGCGTGATGAAAGGGTAAATCAAATTTTGGTTGATGGAGGATCCTCAGTGAACATTTTGCCATTTCGCACTGTGAAAGAACTTGGTATTCCCATGAATGAAATCTTAGAAAGTCATGTGATGATCCAAGGATTCAACTAATGGGGGAAAATAGCCATAGGTGTGATCAGGCTGGAAATCACCATTGAAGGCATGCAATCAAGTGCATGGCTACATGTGATCGATGCAAAGACTTCATACAACATCTTGCTTGGAAGGCCTTGGATACATGAGAATAAAGTTGTTCCATCTACCTACCATCAATGTTTAAAATACTATGAGGGTGAAGTCGAGAAGAAGATAGTTGCTGATGATGAGCCATTCACTGAGGCTAAGTCACACTTCACTGATGCAAAGTTCTACTTGAAGAACCGTATTGTGAAGGTGCTAAAACCTGATGATGGCATGAAAAGTAAGAATAACTAGCCCACGACTAAAAGAGAAGAGGTGACTACTGGTGAAGCCGAAGCTATTACTAAGGAGGTACAACCCAACGCAAATAAATCTTATTGAGGGAATATTGCGTCTTATGGCAAGAAAGTAAGTCCTGTGCTCCAGTATGTCCCTGAAAGGAAGAAAGATGAAGGTGAATCATCTAATCTCCAAACTAACATGCTAAATGAGTTAACTCTTTCGGTCAAGCAAATTGAGGCAGTAAAGTCGTCCTTAATGCCGCTTGTAGGGTTTGTGGCCCAAAATCATTTGTAGAATGTGGCACTCCAGACAAAGCGAACATATGAAGATTTTAATCCTAACACTTACATGCTATTTGCAAAAGCTGGATACAATCCTAATGAGTCATCAAAGTTAGGGAATCTACCATTAGAAGCTGCAATGAGACGACCGCGTGAAGGTTTGGGATACAAGCAACTGTCACCAGTTCGCATCTCCATAAGAAGGTCAGGCAGCAATTATATCATTGTAGAAGATTAATCGGCCGCTTCTAACAAGCATTCTGTCTTTGATCGACTTGGAAAATCAATTGTGAGAACTTTCGTATTTGAGAGATTGGGTCCATTAAAGAAGGGAATAAGTTCTAGAGAAATTATTGAAATACAAGGGCACCCACTTCGCCCAAAATTCAGAAGATCTCTAAGGATTTCCAAAGTTTGGTTCCTTCTCGAAAAAGCGACAAACAAAAGTCATGGTCTCGTGTGATGAGGTACTGAAGGTGAAGCCATACACTGTGGTCTACACTAAAGAACGTGATGAAGATGAAGAAAGTGTAGGTTCTTCGTATCATGTTATTGCACAAGGCGAACATGGTATTTTATCTCTAATGGAGGATGACAAGAAATTGGATGATGTTTCACAATGTTATCACATATCCTTTAACGATGGGGGCCCTCAAGAATATGAA